AATAAAATAATTCGAAGTGGTCTGTATTCTGTCGAAACTGCCAGACGCGGATCGCGATTTCGATCTTTTTGGATCTCATCAGCGCGTCGCAGGCAGCCCGACAGAGCACAGACCAACATTTACCTGCTGCCTTAAAAGCGCGTTTTAGAAAATACGACAAAAGGCGCTGTAAACAGTAGCACTGTACTACAGATGGCGTTTACAGCTTTCTTGTTTCTTCCCTCGATACGTAATGTACTATTATTAGACAATATTGAAACTATTGTATCTTATTTAAATGGTTATCAGTATCATAATGGAGCAAGACAATTATGAAAACTCTTACGAACAATAAGTGTTTCAATTTATTTACACCATCAGTAACATGTAACCGATAAAATCAGTGGAAAAGTAAAGGAGGAAAACAGCTCCTTTCATGCTAGCATTACATAATAAAATGACATAAAACGAGTCAATAAAATGAAACAATTGGGGTTTGATTACAATAAATGATAAAATTTTAGTTTTATATCACGAACTTGCTATTTGTATTGTAACGTTTTACATTCATTGTAAATTTCCTACCGTTAATGGGAAAAGTATACATTAGTCCACAGTTTTTCTCATTTTAAAACAAAAGAAAATGTTCTTGAGCCTATTTGGTATTTCCAATAATGCACTGATCTGTAGAATGGTAATACAATTTATGGACTGTAAATATTTACTAATTTATTTTTTAGTCAATTAATATAATATATAACAATACATATAGTAAAACACATATTTCCATAATAATTGGTTTAGAACAAAACGGTATTTAGTGTAATCGAATTATCTCAAATTCATTTTTTTATAGTGACCCATAATTTAAGGCCGCATTGTTATGCTTACTTATATTTACTTAGCTTTCTTTGTTAAAACACAATGAATTCGTAATTGGCATTTTATACAAATGGTTAGATACCATAAAACACCGTAGAGGTAAGTAAAACAATAAATACCTATTTACATCGAATCCTAGTAACTCTACAAAAAAATTTAATAGGAAAAATAAAAATGAAAGTACATTTAATTTCATTTAATTATTGTATTTTAAAAAAGCTTTCTGAACTTCGGTTCAAAACAATGACGATAATATATTGTAACGAATCTTCTAGTAATGTGTTTATTTAAACGTATATTTGTATTACACACTAGCATTTAACTAGATACTTAAATTAGTTTTTATTTATACCAGAGACCTTGGTATAGGGTATCCCGAAATTAGCATGCTTAATTATGTTACTGGTAAGCTGTCTTTATATAAAAACTAACTCGGACTGTCATCCAGAGACCTATTTTTATCGAATTCTCTGCAACTATCTTCATTCCTCTAGATCAGGGATGGCGAACCAATGGCACGCGACACAATATTTTAGGCACGTCACTAATATCAATCATAAAGTCTAGTTCAATATGGATCCAAAACTTTATTGAAACAAGGAAACTAATTGAAACATAAAGATTGGCAGGTAATACAAGTGAAAATGCTAATAACAAAATTTTGGAAACATGAAATGCGTTACCAAACACTTTTGATTGTTTGAAGAAGCTGGCTTATGCTATTTTGAAAACGTTTTTTCCTCAACCTATGCATGCCAGTCATTATTTTCAGAGATGAATAACATTAAAAACTCGGTTAGAAATCGTTTGACAGATAACTCCAGTTCAGCATGCATTCTACTAAAAGTAGGTAACATCTTACAACCCTAACATAAGTTATTTGTCATCTAATCTGCAACAACAAAAGTAACACTAATTTTACTTTAATTTAAATTACACGTATAATTCAAACATTGCAAAATGTTCCTATTTTTTTGTAGTAAATAAATAAGTTTAAGTTGATATTATTATTATTTTCCCAATAATCACAGAGACAAAATTAATTGATGGCACGTCTTTGACCTGATTAAACTTTTCTTTATAAAAATGGCACGTCGATACGTAAAGGTTCGCCATCCCTGCTCTAGATAATTCCGAAATAATTCCTATTGTTAAGCAAGCGAATATGCCTCACTCAGGGTAAATTTTATTACCCTTCGCGTTTTTAGTCAAAAGATTGCCAACTACCGGTCGGTATCTACCTGTAGACATACTCAAGAAGTGTAGACAATCAACGAATTGATTTTGTAGATACGTAATATCATTCAGAAATTAAATTTTAACATTGGCTTACCTATTGTTTAAAACAATTGTAGATTACGCATATTTATCCACCTAGTAGTGAACTGTTGGGTTGTTTTATATTGTAGTTCCAGCTGCAAAAAGCTGTCAACGGATTTTGAGTCAACACTGGATTCAAAATTATGCAATGGTCTCCTTTTGTATTCTAGCAGTATTCAAATTCAGTTTCATTTAGAATTTCTCATTTATCAAGGATATGAATATATGGAGATAGCAGTAAAAGTTAGATTTCTAAACTAGAATAAGTTAGATTTGCAGCAATTTCTACTTTATACGGCAAATAAGCGAACGCCACTACCAATTGTCAGAAATGTAGCCATTATCAGAAATTGCAAATATTGTTTCGTTTATCATAAAACATTAACTCGAACGGTAATTTTTTTGCATTTTTTATCGCTTAAGCTTGTTAATCATTTAAGCAACATAAACTGACGTAAAATGGAATATTATGGTTAAAATTTTTCCTGTCTTCTCCTTTTGTGTGGTGGGAATTTGGTTGTAAGAACTCTATTTCATGTAAATTTATTTTGTAAAAACTGATTAACGTGAGAGTAAATATGAACAAGTATACCGCAAAACTGCAAAGTGCCTTAACAAATAGAAGAAATAGAAACATATTGTAATACCAATACGAAATATATTGGAATAATAACTACGCTGGTTTATATTTTTTAAAAAATTCAGCTAAACAAGTGATTTTTCTTCAACGTCAAGCTACTGTTATCTCGATCTGTCAATAAAGAATGATTAATTACAGTGATATAAATAAACGTGCGATTACATTGTGATACCTTTTTATAGAAACTAAAATCAAAAATTCGATAAAGGAGTTGTCCGAAATGGTAGGAAAAATGATATGCAGTTTTTTCTATTAATAAAAAGTGTCAGAGCGTAGAAATAAATTCAGTGTCGAAGACAGAGGGTGCCAAGTGGTTCACTACGCACTGGCAATTGTTTGTAACATTGGTGAATATTAGCCACCACTAATTGTTTTTCTGTTATTATTAATAAATAATCAATAGATAAAAGTAAAGTATTGTGTGTTTGTTTGCCTGTGTGTGTGCGTGCGAGTTAAAACAGTTTAGTAGACTGGCATTGGCATAAAAACCTCACTCAGTCAGGTGGTTTGAAATGCTCTGCAATTATCGTTCCTAGTTACTAGTGACAGTGGTTTAGTGTTTAAAGTGAATATTCGTCGTACGTCAGTCGTAACGACGAAAATTATAATAAGTAAGTGGATCGATTAACATAATCGTTAATGATAAAAATTTTGGATTATAACGAAAAATGGAGTATCTCTAATGTTACTTCAACCCCAATTCAAAATAAGTTTTTATTGAGTGCACTAGTGATGTAATATATTTAATTAGTGATAGTGAAGTAATAATTAGTTTCCAAGGAAATATGTGAAAAATTTTGGATTATGCATCCTACCCACTTAAGGAGTTTTGCACAAAAAATATTAAGTAATTAATAGTAGGAGACACCCCTCCAAAATTTAATTTGGTAATGCTTTAATGGATAAGAAAAGAAAATAAAAGAAAAAAAATTAAAGCCAATTAAAAATGGCAAAGGTTAACTATGTTTAAAACCAATAAATATTAAACACCCTTAACAGATTTTTAGAATGATTTTTAATATTTAGCCTCTATAATTTTTAACAGCTTCACTAATTTAAACATTTAGTTATTTAATATTTTTTGCGCGTAATAACTCCTAAAAAATTCTGCAAATATAATACAACATAGGTTTTTTTAAAAATTTTTAAATACTTTATTCTGATGGTGTTAAGCGACAAAACTTCCAGGGGTAATTTCTTGTGTTACTGTAAGAACAGTTTGTGATATTGAAAAATCGTATTGTTTTGAAGATACAGAGCAATAAATGCTTTCGACAAAATTTTGCGGGTGAGCTGCTAATAGAGGTGTTATTTCAATCAGGAAGACTTATCGACCAGTTGTTTCAAAACTTTTTGGAACAAGACAATATTAGACGCATTCATTCTAGCTAGGGGTAGTTAGTTTTAACGATTCATCTAGATTAATAAGATTTACGTGTAAATACTTAGGTAATAAAATATTGCTGTCGTCCAAAAACATTTAACACTCTATATCTTCGAAACAAAGGGTAAACTATTCTTTGAATAACCTTGGGAATAACCCCTGCAAGTTTTGCCGCATATAGAGTAATAGAAAAAGCGCCTGAAGTATTTTTCAGTCAAGTAGAACATTTGTAGATCAAGGGGGTGCCATATCGAAAAGCATTGTACCGACCTACATTTTTATATTTTTAATATTTCCTTAAATTATCTTTCAATTGGAGAAAAATAATCTCGATTGCTTATAGTTGTCATATATACATTACTAATGTACTTAAGTAGTGATGAGCAAGACCAAGATCAAGACTAGTATTATTTGAGTAAGACCAAGACCAAAACTGGACAGTCTTGGTTTTGCTTTCTTCATTATTGTACTTAAGTTGTTACCCATTTACGTGATTGTTTTATGGTCTTGTGTTGAATGCAAGCAACTTGTTTTCTTCTCTGCCCAACCAATTTTAATATCGACTTTGAAACAGTTGGGTAGATACCTTTAATAAAGTTTCGAATTTTTGTTGTAGTTATTGTTGTTAAATGAGTAACTATTTTGTTTTCGTGATTAGGACAATTGGTTCAAAAAGAATGACCTACTGTTATTTAACAACACATCTTAATAATGGTTGGTTTCATTGAGAAAAAGGAAGTGGAAACAGATAGAACAAGCACAGTCAGCGCTAATAATGTCAGCCATGATCCTATGCCCGAAATTGACTGTAAGTTTACCGCATATTAATTTTTGTATTTATTTTATAAATTTTTATTTGTTATAAACATTGCCTTTTTTTGACAATACAGGATTCAGTTCGATTCTTAATTTCTTCTGACATTTGTCAGATTTAAACAAGACTTCTTTTGCAAGAAAAACATAAAAAGCATTAAAAAGTTAATCAGCAGCAGGGTACAATTTTACCCTAGTTAAGGAACAAACAAATCAAATATAATAGGTAACTTGGCAAAAATTATATGAGTTTTTTCCACTAGAGAACACTTTGTGTATTTGCTTAATTTTTACAAATATGAATATAATTTGACCAGACTATACAGCTAAGGCATAATCTCGAAATCTTTTGAACACTCTTCATAGGCTTTAATTTGTACTTTTCGGATTTATATTACTTTATTATCACTATCACTACATAGTATAAAACAAAGTCGCTTTCCCGCTGTCTGTCCCTATGTATGCTTAAATCTTTAAAACTACGCAACGGATTTTGATGTGGTTTTTTTAAAAGATAGAGTGATTCAAGAGGAAGGTTTATATGAATAATACATGCATAATATAGTAGGGAAATACTGATAATTTTAGAGGTTTCTAATGTGATGTCGTAAATAAACACATTTTTTGCGCTTACATTGCAAACGCTGGCTGAACCCTACGAGATAGATCAAAATAATGTACTACAATATTGGACATCTTAAAAGGGTCTACAAAAAAGTCCGCGATGGTATATGTCTATCTCTTAGGGATAACCCACAATAACCATTTTATTCTTTACTTTTTATGAGAAATAATGACTTATTTACGAAGCGATTGTAGGCAATACAGCATTAATTCTTATCCAATTAAGTACCTTAAATACATTGTGCATTTAATATAGATCAATATGGCCCTTTACAGCATGTAATTTAAATGAATATTTTGGAAGATATTACAGACTTAAAATGCAGGGACATAGCGGTTGCGGCGGTACCGGCCGGGAGGCCGGTTTGTATTGTCTAATGACAAAAACACTGTGAATGTTGTATATAAAGACATTCTGTAGTACATTTAGTATGTTCCGGGGGTATCTCTTGAAGATTTCCCCTTTTCGATAATAATCTAAGCAAAACAAAAATATATTTAGTATCAGCATTGCACCCGTGCGAAGATGGGGCGGGTCACTAGTTTTAGTATAAAAATGACCGCAGGTATTCCTACGCATTTTCCACTAGTGTATAGAGCAGCTGCACTGTAGGCACATTGAACGTGACGAATTTGTAAGGAATTAAAATCAAATAAATGGCTTAATCGATAAGTGGCAGATTTGATTTATAGATAAAACAATTCCAATCAAGTACGCATTTTTTGAAAAGCAATGAGTAGCGTGTTCTTTTTTTTTCTGGTTTTGCACCTACTTGAATTCTTATCTCGGATGAAATATAAAAAACTATATATAAGACAAGATGGTAGGTACTTTCTTATAAAATTGGAATTTACCGTTATCAACTTATTAGTTACAAATAATTATTATTGATTTAGCAAGAATTCATGTTAGAACTGTGACAATTGTTTAGATACTTATCACATAATAAGATTTTGTATTATAATTCTGATTAATGGGAATTGATCTTAATTACTAAATATCGATCGAAACCTTCATGTATATTTTATGTATTTTTATTTGTTATGGCGTCGTTAAGAAAAAGAACGGTGAGTGTAATAATATGCGACCAAAATATATGTATATGCAACCAACTATGCGCCCGAATAGAAATATTTAAACCGGTTCACTCTGATTGCAACTGTTTATTTCCATCAGTTTCCAAAATATAATGCGTAAAATAGTTTTTGTAGCGTTTTAATCTGCAAATGTCTTTTAAACCATTTAATAAAGTGTAATAAATGCAATACATGCTCCCGATTCATGATCCATAAATCTACCTGGTACTTTCTTTTTTTTTTTGTTTTTACTTAGGAAATACATTTCGTTTGCTAATATTTCAAAAGTAAGTAAAACTTTAACTCACCTAATAGTAGGTTAACAATAATCCTTTACTGTCGTAAAAGGTAATAATATAAATAACGTATTTTACAATTATTGTTTGTTACTAATGACTAAAAATTCCGTATGATGCATGGCGCCTGTTTTCGAAACAATATGAAATGCGAATGGAGTGTATCAAGCAGCTTTGATACCGAGCACCTTGAAGTAAAAATATTTAGTAACGATAATAATCACGATATATTTCTAATGAATTGGACGAAAGATAAATGAATGCATTACAAAAAAAGACAGCGGAGCTTCACCGTAATCTTTGGTCAAGGGATATGACAATGTTTTGAAAAACTGACAAAATAAAACTACTCCACATGGTAAAAAATCGCTGAATAAAAGTAAAAATTTATTGACACCATCATGCCAAGAGTATAATTTTGAGATACACAAGATACACATGGAGAGACGTTTGGATTGTAAAATATTTTATTACATCTGTTTCTGAGTAATTTTAATTTCATTTTCAAGTTGTGGATTTTCGATGCAATTAATTTGTATAATCAGTGTGGAGGTAAAATAGGAGAGCGTTGATGAAATGTAGAAACTCTTAGGCCTTGAAGATAATAGCGATATGCGAGTGAAGTGCGCACTTGACACATAAAATAAGGGATATGTGATTACTAATGATTGTAGTTTATGCAGCTATTTATAAACAAAACTTATTGAGTAAAAATTTAAATAAAAAGTAGTGTAGCCTGTGAATAAGTGAGGAAGATACAGTGGGATCCACTCCAGCTTCCGATTTTAATGGGCCGTTTTTAATAATAGGTGCATACAAGACAGCTTTAATACATATTGAGTTTTTATAGAACGAACTTGAATATAGCAATAGGTACATATAAACATTGATATATTTACCGTTAAGTAGCCTTCAATAAAAAGAAGTCACTTCTATGCTTGTGAACGGTTAATTTAGCAATTCGAAAATAGTTGTTAAAGGTGTATGTTTAGAACACGGCGCTGTACGGGTGCGTAACATAGAAGGTGGGAGCGGCGGAAAAGAAAACGTTAAAAGCGTTCGAAATGTGGTGTTACAGGAGAATGATGAGGATATCGTGGATAGAGAAGGTTAGAAATGAAGAGGCATTAGAAAGAATAGAAGAACAGAGGACTCTATGGAAGGCAATAAGAAATAGGCGAGATAGGTTGGTAGGATACCTTCTAAGGAATGAAGGTCTAGTCAGAAATATATTACAAGCATAACAGGAGTTAAGAGGAATAGAGGTAGACCTAGATTAGATTACTGCTTGCAAATAGTTAAAGATGTTGGATGTTCTAGTTTTTAGAAAAATCCGAAAATTAGCTCAGGATAGGAAAGAGTGGAGGTACATGTCCAACCAGTTTTAGGACTGACGGCCTTACGATGACGATGATGATGCAGCAATTAGAGGAAATGATAGACTATTTAAATCGTTATAATCAAGAATAGAACAGCGAAATACTACAAGTACTAGGTTTAAACTCATTTTTTAGGGAAATGCGAAGATTAGGTTAGGATAGGAAAAAGTGGGGGTCCGTGTCCAACCAGTATTAAGATACTGACGAACTTATGATGATGATGATGCCTACCTTAGCTCCAATAAATACTTTAGTTTACATAAAATTATTTTGTGTGCAACTTTCTAAGGTAATAAAGTTGCTCATAAAGAGATTGCTCATGCAATGGGGATCCTGTTATAGGTGCATATCTATACTATTACGTAAACTTTCCAGGATAATCCATTTTCAATAAAGTGACGTGAGTGACGGAAGTACCCACTTGTTAATAATTTGATTTATTACATTCTGTGTAATCTAAGAACAATAAATCAGAGTAATTACATTTGTTCTTAACCTTGTAAATAACAATTGAACAAATAATTCAGGAATCGACGTCAGAAATGCAATTTGTTAAAGCGGATGATCATATAAAGGGTATTGACGTTAATTTTCTATGTGTGACACAGCATGTTTTGCCTTCTAATGGTAAGTTTACCCTGGCCGAAATATAGTAGGAGATCTTTCCATTTCAGTTGACGCAATATAGGATTTCCTCTTGAAAATTGATATTTAGGGGACAAACATACAAATAATACTACATAAATGCGAAGCAACTTTATTTATTTGACATTTAAGTCTTCGCCAAAATAAATAGAATAGTCATCCTTTAAATGCATATAAATGTTTACCACTGGATCCTTACTTGTTATAACATCCAAATTCTATGGAATCAATAATAGGCGAGATAGGTTGATAGAACGTTTTCAGACCTGAAGGGCTAGTTCGAGACATACTAGGGGCAGAAACAAAAGTTAAAAAGGGCAGAAGCACACTTAAGATTAGATTAATCTTCAAGTGCGAGATGTTGGTTGCTGTAGTATCCGAGAAATGCAAAGATTGATTCAAGATAAGATGATGTGTATGTTCGTGCCTAACCAGTTTTCGGATTAAGTACTTTATGATGATGATCATGATGTAACCTAGTCTAACCGAACCTAACCTAGCCTCATAACGTTTAGAACAGCTGATGGAGAATAATAAATATTTAGTACTCTACTTTTATTATTAAAATGTTTAATTTAGCCTTTTCCTGCACTTATTGTGACATTTTGTGATTACAGGTGTCAGAGTTCAACCCGCAGTCATCAAGAAAAATAGTTTGGCCATTTCCATTTCATCAGAATACAGTAGATTGTCAAAGGGTCCTATAGCTGTCATCCGGCAAGAGAGTATTTACCAAACAATCTGGCAAATATCACTGCCATTTTTCATCGCTAGTTTAGGAAGTATAGGCGCTGGTGTGGTACTCCAAGCAGTGGAGGTAAAGTATAGGATGTTTATGTTTTTTGATTTGAACTATCCGCGACTGACCTTTCGACAGCATACTGACTACCATGAACTTCTTTGTTCGATTTGGTTACATGCCTACCACGAATATTGAGCTGTGTAATAGTGGATCTAATTTAGAAACGTAAAAGGCCCTTTTTGAATATTTTGAATTCCGCTAAATGTAGCATTGTACTACAGGTGGTGTTCACCACGCCGTTAGTGATACCTTAGTAAACATGCGTCTAAATAGCCACACAGGAATACTTCGTTTACTTTCTGTAGCGATGTGACCTTCAGTTTCACCGGCGCAAAGTAGAAAAGAACAGCACTAGGCCAGAAAAGGAAGGAGACACCTTTCGGCCAAACTCTTAACCGTTGAGGAGCGTATAATCCGTACAGTACTGCACGGAAAAATTGACCATTTTATCCACTACAATTGCATTGCTCAAATGTGCTGTTATTGGTACCATTTACTACTGAAAATATCAACGAGATGTTTATTTGTATTTGAAGACATATTAAAGGCTTTAACGCTTGTTTTCGACTCGCACTACTATTAATGATTGAACAAAACTTTTGGCAGGTATTGTATGAAAAAGTATGTCTAATGAACAAGAGTCGAGAGTATAATGAGCTGTTTTCTCCCTACCTACGATATTGCCAGCGCGCATCCAATACATTGGAAGGGGCACATCGCTAGCCGAAGTAAATGAAGTATAGGAACATACCGCAATTTAAGCAGGAAGCTTTATTTAAGCGGATGTTTTTAGAACGAGTTTTACAATTAGCGACTGCTAATTCAATAAATATTATGATTTTAAGCTTATTTTATAATCAATTCCAAGGATTTACTTTGACAGTAGATAATATTATATAGCAGATGAATCACATCGATCTCCAAACTAATCCAAACAAATGAATGATTGAAAGTGAAGCAGCGTTAAAAATATAAGCATTTCGGCACGTCCTTTACTACATTCAGTATTAAACACGATAAGTACACACGTAATAGTTCCAACCAATGACATTAGGTTTTCCTTTATCATATCACTAACAACAAATTTTATACACTGTCAGTAGGTACAAGTTCAAGATAGTTTAATTATCTGTAACTACAAAACTAGAACATTGCAAAAAACATATGTATACATTTAATAGAGTAAGCGTACATATATCAACACCAATAAATATTTTTTTCAACATTTTTACGTGTTACTACTCAGTTATGCATCTTTATCAGAGAAATCGATGCAGTCTTTTATGCCAAGGCTATTGTGATCTATTGTAAAAAGGGCACCACTGAAGAAATATACTATAGTGCAGTCGAAATAAGAAGGCAAAGTCCCCAATAAATAATGTACACTAAAGGCATATCGTCTTTCTCGTTCTTACAAACGGAAGATATCCTGTCTTTACTCTCTAAACACGCCTCCTCCACAGCTGCGTCGAGGCCTGCACCTACGTTTCATAAGAATCAATTGAATAGAATGAGACGGTTGAAAACGTGCTTGTCGTGTTGTCTGTACCTACATTAAATGAGAAAATTTACAGGGTCGGCTTAAGGTAGTAGTCGTGCTACAGTATGGTGAAAAAGTGATTGTAAGATCTAAGATAATTCAATGCAATAATATTTATATAATTTCGATTGTACATCAAAACAGATTGAGTGAGTCTGTATTCATACATACCCACACATCTAAAAATATTATTGTTTTTTTAATAGTGCAACACTGTATTTCATATTGATACAAATTCTCATACAAAAATAACAATAAAAACAACAATAACACCAACAAAAACAACGACAACAATAGTTACAACGAAAAAATAACTTAAACGATATATGTAGAGAGATGACTATTCGCACAAATACACCAACTAAATTAAGCCGACCCTGTAAATTTGCCCATTTTATGTAGGTACAAATGACAAGACAAGCATGTTGTCGATCGTCTCATTTTATTCGATTGATTCTTATGAAACGTAGGTGCAGGTCTCGACGCAGCTGTGGAG